TAGCAGCAGGACAGGTTTGTTAACATATCTCAGTCATGGCTGGTAATGACCCTGCCTGCTTTCCAGCGATTGATCTTCTTTAAAGGACAGGGGGAAAGAAAACACAAATGTAATCATGATGGGGTTTTGGGTTTTATGGCTTCCTAAAAATCTTGTGTCCACTAATCAAAAATATCTTAAATTCATATTGGTTGCTACTGCTGAATGTTATCTCAATCTTGAAGAAGTTATAAATTACATCATACCACACCTACCAACACTGGTCTAAAACATGTACTAGAAGAGTTAGTAGAGTTGGGCTGAATCTGACTTCTATGCAAACTCAATTTTGGTAATATATTAGCTGCGTTTCAGAAACCTGCTGTGCTTCAGAAGCATTTGAAATCCTGTCTCTCAGGTACTCAGATACATTTTTCTCAGTTATTTTTTTAATCTTGTCACAGGTGTTGAAGGCCTTGACAAAAGAGAGAGCTTATCAGATATTTGGGCAAAAGACCTTTTCTGAAGTTTACTATTTTATGGACTATTAGCTAAAGCTGGTGTTATTTGGCATGTTTCAAAGGAGCCCAAGAATTTTAGTGTCTAAATCTCACTTGGATGTTTGAATTGAAAAAAATTGCTTTTTTTTTTAAATAAATGGCTTTGAACAAAATTAAAATACATGAGATAAGGGCCAGAGAGTATTTCGTTGTTTTACTTGGAGAGCAATTAAAGCTCCAAGAAAGGAATCAAAACCAATAACCAAATCACTTCCTAATAGGTCTGAGAGTTTCTCATTTGCTTTTTGTTAATTTATCATGATTTTGTAAAAATAAAAAGTGGATAAAAATAAGAAAAAAAGAGTTGATATGAGTAAATATTTTTCATTTCAGGAGCAAGATTGCTGATGATAGTCCTAATAATGCACATGACATCGTAAATGCTGTCCATAATTGCCTGTTTCTCAGAAGTCAGCATAGTCAAGGTCAACATCCATTTGTAAAATGCAAGTCAACATTTGTATTGTTATGTTGTTTGCATGAGGAAGATGGCTTAGAGATACAACTAGACACCCTTTTTTCTTTTTTTTTTTTTTCCTTTTTTTTCTTTTTTTCTTTTTTTTCTTTTTTTTCTTTTTTTTCTTTTTTTTTCTTTTTTTTTCTTTTTTTTCTTTTTTTTCTTTTTTTAAACATGATCCCAACCAAAGATCCACTGTAATTAGAAAATTTGCAGGCTTAAAAAGGAAAAGCGTATCTAGCTTTACTTTTCCTGTATTAAGTAAAACTTTATACTGCGAGCAATTAAATTTTCAACTGCATTATTCACATTCTACTTTTAGACATTGCACAAATCTTTAACCTGTTGACAAACGTAAATTTCATAATACATTCAGATATATTTAAAATGACTCAAAGAATTCTTGTCACGTATTTAAGCTCACTTCGATTAGATGGATGCGTGTGTCTTTATAGTGTTGCAAATCTTCAGTTAAATCATAGTACAGATTTCAGAAATAAAAAGCCTCCCACGATAAAACTTCTTTTGAAGTTATTA